TATCGGCCTTTTTTTTTTACTCCCTAATATCGGTATCGGTATCGGCCCCAAAAAAAACATATCGGTCGGGCTCTACTCATTATATAGGTTTGATATTAAGGTTTTAACATGATAGACGCTGATTTAACTGTCGTGACACACAACATGCCTTTATGTTAAAATTAAATAAAACCACTTCTCATAAAGAACAAGAACATGGTCTTCTTTTTAATGAAATACCAATGGCTATATAGGCTAATTATGCATTCTTTATAGCAGCTTGTTTACCATATTCTTCATTCTTTCAAGCAGACATATTTATTCCTATAAATAAATTTAGATTAATCTTTAGGGCTTCTAAAGTTTTTCAGTCAAGAGCAGTGCGTGATTAAAACCGAATGCACAGCTGCAATGGATGCAATGTACTGATACACGTTCTCCCTACTGTTTACGTTCACTTAAGACGTAATCAACTGTGTTTACGTGAATACTTGTCAAAACGGACAATTTGACATAATTTTGTGTGTAATTCTCCGCTCATGCGACACGAAAGTGTACTCGCGCGCTGTGAGATGCGCTTTCTGTTTGTGTAGTATGCTTCAGTGTCTGTGCCAGGTCTGTGCTCAGAAAACCGGACTGAATTGAGTTCTCTCTTGCGAGTTCAGATTTATCCATATGTCTGCTCTTCTCTTACTCCCACATATTGACATTTTTGAATGTTTTATGCGACGTGCAGCAAGTGTATGTTTTTTAGCTTATGTCCCGCCGGTTCATATGTACGCATCTAACCTCCGAACTACGCAGCAGATTCGTTCTGAAATTGAATGAATCTCTTCCCAAATCGTCCCTCCCTAACATTTTCGTCTCGTTTTTATTCGTTGATGAAAATGTCAATAGATTTACGTCATAGTTTTTGTCATTCAAATAGAGTTTTAGTTCGTTATCGTCTCGTTGTCGTTGGTGAAAAAAATTTAGTTGACGAAAATTGTGACGAAAATTATTCGTCAATGAAATTAACACTGCTAGACACGCGCCCAAAAGAGCACTGGACAATTTGTGCCTTCACTGGCTTAAAGAAGTGTAGAAAAAAAATACTTTCAATTAAACAGGGTAAAACAAGCTAAGGTAATATTTCACAGTGTGTAACAGATGCTGATGATACACTTTAACTTGTTTTTGGCTTGTAGGGGAGATTGGACATTGGACCCACAATGGGACTTTTGCCACACCTATCAAGAAAGTGATGGTTAGTTTAGTTTCTTGGCTCAACATTAAGCTGTAAGAATAACAGGTGAATTGATATAGTGTTGTGTTGTTACAAAAAAGTCTGTGGGAGACAAGCTGCCTAATGCCTTTTCCTAAAGACAGACATAGTGTAAAGGGCACATTAGTATAGCTCAAAGTCATGAACATGATTCCCAGCAAATGCATAGACAGATAATATGTATACTTTGACTGCAATGTAAGACACTTTTGATAAAATCACCTACCAAGTGCAATTATTGTCTGCAACAAGTAAAACATGTTCCTGGATCAACATCTTTGTTGAACAGCATTCATGTGAAAGAAACATACTCCTAATTTGAACCCAAACCCTAACCATAACCTACCCATAAAATCAAATGATAGGTTGATAAGAATAGTCTATAAGCCCCTAACTATAGCGTTAAGCTTGACCATGGCATTAGCCCTCATCCTAACCCTAAAAAATCTGATTGGTTCAGAGGAATGTTGTACCAGAACTAATAAGGATGTTGATTTAGGAACATGTTCCACTTGTAATAAATTTGAAGACACAGGAAAGTCAGGGCTGACCATATAAGGATGTGCCCCAAATTGCCCCATGCCCATTCAAGAGGATGACCCTACAAAATTAGTGAATCAATAATCAGAAACAAACTACACTGCATAAAGTCCTTCACATTTACTAACCACAGCAGTAAACCTGAGGCAGACTCCTGGAAAGCTTAATAATACAAATACAAACCGCAGTGCAGCAGCAGTGAGTCCAAAATTATCTCTGATGAGTAGGCAAACACACGTATACACTGACCAACACACAAATGAGGAGCAGTTTGAGTCAATAAAACATGCAAGGATCTGAAATAGGTCAGCACTAATCACATTTTTACCTTGTGGTTACAATGGCAGCTGCTCACTGTTGCGTGACTGCAGATACACTGGCACAGAATCAAAATACAAATTATAATTGTATAATGTTTGTCAAGTGCAGAGACACATTTCACAAACAGACAGTACCTCTGCAAGCTGTGATAGAATAAACTGATAACCAGGACTGAACAACTTCAAAGTGAATGTTAACACGTCACACTTGGTCACAAGACATGCGAGAGAGAGCAATCACTGGTATATGACCTGATGTAATGCCTCTCAAGGTCACATATTTTGAATGAGTTGGAGATTTGGATGGTGAAGGGGATGATTAAAAGTAAATAAAAACTAATATTTCAGTCTGTTTCTCACATTGCATAGCTTTGTGTTTGCTGGTGCAGGATAAAAGTCACTAAATTTGCTGATTTTCTGAGTTAGTGCTGGCTGCAGATAAAGTCTTAATCGTTGGAGATTTTAATATCCATGTTGATAATGAAAAAGATGCATTGGGATCAGCATTTATAGACATTCTGAACTCTACTGGGGTCAGACAACAAGTGTCGTAATCAATTCACATTGTAAATACTCTTCCTGACTTGTCTCAATTCCTCAGCAAATCCAATAGCTCAGAAAACTTAATGTTGTAACAGAAACTATGGACTCTCTCTTTTCTAGCTCCTTTACGCTTAAAGAAGATTAAGCAAAAACAGTCTGACACCATGGTACAATGGGCACACTCGTGCCTTAAAGAGAGCAGCCCGGAAAATGGAGTGCAAGTAAAAGAAAACAAAACTAGAGGTATTTTGTATTGCATGGAGGGAAAGTAATTCTACATATAGAAAAGCTCTAAAACTGCTAGATCTGCTTGCTTTTCGTCTTTTTAGAAGAAAATAAACACAACCCCAGGCATTTATTCAATACAGTGGCTAAATTGATGGGTCGCGCCTTTACTCTTCAAGAAGATTAAGGAAAACAGTCTGACACCGTGGTATAATGGGCACACTCACATCCTAAAGAGAGCAGCCCGGAAAATGGAGTGCAGCTGAAAGAAAACAAAACTAGAGGTATTTTGTATTGCATGGAGGGAAAGTAATTCTACATATAGAAAAGCTCTAAAACTGCTAGATCTGCTTGCTTTTCGTCTTTTTAGAAGAAAATAAACACAACCCCAGGCATTTATTCAATACAGTGGCTAAATTGATGACAAATAAAGCATCAACAGTCACAGACATTTCCCAACAGCACAGCGGTTATGACTTTATGAACTTACTGCCAAGATCGATACTATTAGAGATAAAATTCTAACCATGCAGCCATCAGCTACAGGATCGCATCAGATGTGCACTATAGGTGTCACGCCCATGGACTGTTTTGTGTTTGTTTTCCTCCCCCACGTGCTCCATGTTCTCCCTGTGACCTAGTTTATCCCTTGTGTTAATTATGTTTATTCATTCCAGGTGTGTCTTGTAAGCTTCCTAGTTTAGTTCGTAGTATTTATGCCCTGTGTTTTCCTTTGTCCAGCGTCTAGTGTTAAACGTCTAATCTCCTGTGCTACATGTGTGGTCCCTTGTTTGAAGTATTAAAGATTGTTTCTTCGTCGATACTCCTACATCTCCTCGCTCCTTCACTCCTCGTTCCTACACAGCAGCCGCCGCGTGACAGAACACTAGACCTGCAAACAGTGATGGAAACTGCCGCAAGATTCGCCGCCCTACCCCGTAAGGATCTTCCCTTTGTGGAATTCGCCCGGGAATACTGCGGGCTCGCGGCGATGACGGCATTGGAAGATGACATGCTGAATTTGCTGTTCTGGATGGGGGCCAACTACCATCACCCTATGGACCTACCAGACACCACTGGACTGAGCTGGAGGCAAGGTATCCTCCGGTGTCTGGAGAGTGTCCGACCCCGATTCAGAACCAGCCCGCCGGCCGCTCCATTGTCAAATGCGCCAGCCTCTCCATTGTCAAGCCCGCCGGCCGTTCCATTGTCAAGCCTGCCGGCCAATTCACTCCCAAGTCCTCAGCTGACAGCAGCCCGCTCCTTAACCCCAAGTCAGACGAGGAATATGCAGAGGAAAAGACTGTTGGCTCCAGCCCCTGAGTCTGCTCCAGTGTCGGCTCCAGACCCTGAGTTCGCTCCAGTGTCAGCTCCAGCCCCTGAGTCTGCTTCAGTGTCGGCTCCAGCCCCTGAGTCCGCTCCAGAAAGGGCTCCCGTTCCCAAGTCAAGCCCAGAGAAAGACTCTGTTCCCAAATTAAGCCCAGAGAGGACTCCTGCTCCCAAGTTAAACCGAGAGAGGGCTCCTGTTCCCACGTCCAGCCCAGAGAGGGCTCCCGTTCCCAAGTTAAGCCCAGAGAGGACTCCGGTTCCCACGTTAAGCACAGAGAAAGCTCCTGTTCCCAAGTTAAGCCCAGAGAGGGCTCCTGTTCCCAAGTTAAGCCCAGGGAGGGCTCCAGTTCCCACGTCCAGCTCAGAGAGGGCTCCAGTTCCTACGTCCAGCCCAGAGAGAGACTCTTTTCCCAAGTCCACCCCAGAGAGGGCTCCTGTTCCCAAGTCCAGTCCAGAGAGGGCCACAGTTCCCGAGTCAGGCCCACGGAGGGCCTCAGAACCCGAAATTTCCAACAAGGAATTTTGGGAGGGGGCCTATAGGGATCTACAGTGCTGAGTCCAAGGCTGTCTGCTCCGCCATGGCCTCCTGAACTGTCTGCTCCGCCATGGCCCCCTGAACTGCCTGCTCCGCCATGACTTCCTAGTCTGCCTGCTCTGCCATGGTTCCCCCGAGCTCCCTGCTCCGCCATGGCTCCCCGAGCACCCTGCTTTGCCATGGTCCCTGAGCTCCCTGAGCC